CCCCCCCGGGCCCCCCGGCTCGTCCCAACACTCCCCGTAGCGCGGGGCCGTGGCAGGTGAGCGGGCGTGGGGACGGCAGCGGGGGGGACCCCAGGGACGGCTTCCCCCGGCCATGGCTGGGTGCCTGGGTGTGGGGACCCCGGGGACGCCGGGGACACCCTGCCTGTGGTGGATCGGCTGGGCTGGGGGAGCCCCCGCTGCCCGGGGCCGGGCAAGCCCCAGCTGCTGGAGTCAGGGGACTGCGGGGGTCCCCGTCCTCGGGAACGGTGTGGCCGTGGGGACCCAAGCCGCGGGGCTGTGAAGGGGAGTGCGGCCAAGCGGCTCAGGGGACCTCAGTGTTCCCCGGCATCGGAGTCCGGCTGCCAGCACAGCCCTGGCAGGACGTGGCCCCGGGGTGGCTCTGGCTGGAGGAACCGGCCCCACTCTGCACCCAGCTCAGCACCCACCAAAACCAGAGAGACCCCATGCCAGGAACAGCCTCGGTCGATCCGGCTGTGACACCGGGAGCCAGCCGTGCCAGGGCGGCGCGGCCGGCGAGGCACTGGGGCTGCCGGGACCTCGGGTGCCAGGGCCACACGCGGTGTTTGCCGGTGCAAAGTCCGGGGTCGGTGCTTGGGGCTCCTGGAAGGTTTTGGCACTGTGCGGTGCTCGTGGCCTCGATGTGCCGGGGAGCGCCTGGCGTGCCGTGGTGCAGCCGTCGAGGCTGGGGGCGGATGGTGCAGGGCCCCCCCTGCCCCTCCCGACCTTCCCTGTGACCTTGGGCTGCCCCTGGGGACTCTGCGCAGGGCTGGGGGCCGTGGGGGCTGCGGTGACACTGCCACGGCGGCGGGGACCACCGCCCCGCAGTGTGCGGACGGGGCTCTCCAAAGGCGCTTGCGAGGTTTGGGGGACTCCCCCGCCCCGAGGGGCTTGTGGCAGCCCCGGGGACAGCGGGGACACCCGTGTCCCCCCCAGCCCACCCCGGGCGGGGGGTCCCGCAGCACCCCGCACCCCAGCCCCAGGCACCCGCTCGGCCCCGCGCAGGTAGGGCGTCCCCGGCCGCGTGGCCCCCCCCAAGCCGGGGATGGGGTCCCCCTTGGGCTGGGGGGGCCTGGGGGGCCCCGGCGGCCTCTGCCAGCCCCGGGGAAGCGGGCGCCGCCCCCGCCGTCCCTCCGGGGCCTGAATCAGCCCCAGCCCAGGGCGTCTCGGTGGGGCTCGAGGGAGGGATTTTCTCGGGGAGACCCCGGGACGAGCCGGGGATTCCCCTGCATGGTGGCGAGGCTGGGGAGGTTCGGGTGTCCCCGCGCGTCCCTGGGGGGCCCCGGCGGCCTCTGCCAGCCCCGGGGAAGCGGGCGCCGCCCCCGCCGTCCCTCCGGGGCCTGAATCAGCCCCAGCCCAGGGCGTCTCGGTGGGGCTCGAGGGAGGGATTTTCTCGGGGAGACCCCGGGACGAGCCGGGGATTCCCCTGCATGGTGGCGAGGCTGGGGAGGTTCGGGTGTCCCCGCGCGTCCCTGCGTGTCCCCACGCATGTGCCAGCCCGCACGCCTCCCCCTGCGCCGCGGGACCCGCAGACACCCCACAGCCCCGTGGGTGGGAATGGGCCAGATCCTGTGTGGGGCAAATCATGCTGGTGCTGGGCTCTGCCCCTTTGCACCAGCCCCGATGTGCCGGGGTGCATGTGGGGGACGACGGGGGACAGGGCCCCGGCTATTGGCATCACCGGGGGTCCCATGGCAGTAGGGCTTGTCTGAGCCATCCCGGTGCTCCTTGGCAGCCCGGTGGCCTCAGGCCGGTGCCTCCGCCAGCCCCAGGGGCCTCAGATGGTCCCGTGCCCCCCCAAATCACGCTCAGCCCCCCTGCCCTGCCCTTGGGGGGCAGCGGTGGTGGCACACCCCCCATCCAGCCCCGTGCCGGTGGGTGGGCAGCAGCGTTTGCGGGGGCCGGGGGCTCCTGCCGGCAC